TTCATCAGCTACTCCTACTGGAATAAAGAACAGATTCTGGCATACAGTATTATATAGGTATATGACACCACAAGGTCTACAACTTGGAGATGATTTCTGAGAAAGTCTCTGAATAGACTGAAATTATTTGTAATAATTTCAAAGATGCATATTTTTGATGGCAGAGAGTCCAGCTTTCCTCTGAAATGCGTCTGAAACTGAAATCAGCTTACTGCGTTCGTAAGATATTCCTAAATACGACTGCATGGAAAAGTTAAAATCTCATTAATTCTTAAGTCACCTAGAGCAACTGCCCTCTAAGAAGACACAGTGTTCCCCACTTCCCTTCTGGCTAATTCCCCCTCTCACACATTTTTTAATAACTTCCTGCTCTTTAATCTTTATCACCAGAGTCTGTTGCCTCACAGACTGAAGACAATCTGAGGAACGCGTGAGAGCTATTCATGAATAGGATTTTAATGTTAAACAGTGAACACATAATTCTAAAGAAAAAAAGAGAGCTATCATTATTCAGGGGAAAAGGTCTGTAGTCTTAAATGTAGCCTTTAATGCATATGTGCTTTCATTTAAAGAGCAACTAACTATAGAAGAATTAAAGGTGTTTGAGGAGCATGAAGTATGTCTCTGTGTGAAAGGGTTGATAATGGAACTAAAGAAAATTCCCACCTTCCTCTAGAACTACTTTACGTGTAAATTACAAATTTACAACCAGTTCTAAGACAAATTTCTAACAAGATTTCTTAAAATTAACTACCAGAGGAAGCAACCATTTAACCTTGTTCTCTACACTGGAGTATCTGTATCTGTCTCGTACCACAAGTATTACAAGAATGAAATACAATGGCAATGCTGTTCTTGTGCATATCACTTTTATGAATTGAACACCTCTTCCCAAATTCATTTCTTATCCTCACATTATGAAATGCATGCATATGCCTATGTGAAAAGCATATGGGGAAGCACTTAGAAAAGAAAAAAAAAAACCAACAAACCAAAAACCAACAAACCACAAAGCTAAAACCAAGCCACCCAAAACAAACAAAAACCAAAATCATCTCCCTCCATTTACATTCCCTTCTGCTGTCCACTTGCAAATCCTAGCAAGCCACGTATTTTTTTAGAAATCTGTTAATGAGTGGTCTTATTTACTGAGTCTTCCTCTAGCATAACAATCCTTCACAGCATATTTCCTTTGTAGTGACAGAATACTGCAATGAAAAAAGACCATCTCTCATGGTATTATAAACCATAACATGCAAGTGTTGACATATAAAACTATCTACAGGCACATCACACAAACTTTCGCTCATCAGTAATAGTCATAAATGGTTCTTTACTCTTGAGGCAAACTCCACATTGTAAATGAAATTGTATTTTGTAATAACTGTCATTACCTGAAAATAAAGAAGTGTTAAGTTTACCACTATTCTTTTCCTCTCAAATGCAATTGATTTAATTTCCAACCAAAATATTCTTCAAAACCAGTGCTGCCTGATATGCTCACCAGTCCCTATGTCCATGAACTTATATGGCCTGGAAGACCTTTTCTTTAGGCACAACGAGCAAGCCTGAAATCTGTCAGTATGTTTTTGCAAGTTTGAAAAGCTCCTTGCTTACAAGATGAATAATTTTTTTGAGACCAAAAGTCTAGAGAATGTCGAAACAGTGACACTTTCTCAAAATATGCTGTAATTACTATATTTACTGTCTTCATCAGTTCCTGCAGTGTGTTAAAACCAGAAGGTACTGAAAACAAGGTGCCATTCCTTTAACTGGTGTAGAAAAATGACAGGAATGCAGATGGTGGTACATCCATTTAGGCATTCACTCACTTTTTCCTCCTGTAAAAGCTTCTCTTATTAAAGCATTGGTCCTGAAGATCCTGTGATAGAAGACATTTCTACCTTCTAGAAAAGTTTTCAGGGAGGAAACCTGAAATTCGGTGGTATCTTCATATGGTTACCTGTTGAGCACTCACACTTTGGGAACCTAAGCAACTCTGACAAAAATCTAGGGAAGAGAAGTTACATTCCACTCCATTTCAGACACATAGAGATGCTGAGGAACTGTAGTGGTGATTGGTTCCACACAATTCTTCCTAAACTTGTGTCCTGGTTAAACCACAACACCTTGGTAACGTGCAGGAGAGTAGTTAGGGTACGTGCTACCACTTCTACCATAAATACTCCTAATACATATACCTACAAGCACACCAGACGCTACTTAGCTTTGGTAAGTGGGATGCACTCCTTTAATAACAAACAACACTCACCATATACACTCATTCAAAGAAACACAAGCACTTTTGTACAGGCTATATTTTAGATACATAACTCATATATGATCTCACGATACATAAGTACACATAGTAAAATCACACTCACATGCAAGGATAAATATATTCTAAACTCGCCAGAATGGAAACATTATAAAGACATGCTAAAATTTCCTGAGAACTGCAATGTGGACAAATAAATTCTCATATATATATATGAATGTATATATATATATATATAAGTGCATATATATATATATATATATACTTAGAAACATGCATTTCATTAATCTTCTAAAGATGTTGTTTAACTGGCAGGTATATTAAGGCTTACAGAGTTTTTCCTCTTCCATGAACTCAGAGATACGGTCTTTTTACAATGATGTCCTACCTAAGATATAATTACGTGAATTAACAAAATCGATAGATCTGTTTTCCTTATAAATTATTGTGAGCTGTAAAGGAGGTTCATCTACCACCTCTTCTAGAAAATATGCAAACGCTGTCTAAGAGACTTCTTATTTATTTGTCATAGTAATTATTGCTCTCTGCCTGATAAAGTACGCTCCTTTGCCATTAAGAAAGCAGTTTACTTTATAAGGACTATTGGAAAAAATGAATATTCCAACTCCTGTGAATATAATTCAGCAGCCTGTCAAGTTAAATTGGGTATTAAAATGGAGCTGTTCTTCTTGCATATTCATCAAATTAAATCCCATAGTATTTCATGTTTAAATAGGGAAGGGTTAGTTGTGAGGCAAAATAACTGAACTTCTGTGCATGGAAGATTCTGTCCTCTCTACAAGTAACATTCCAATAACATAATTTGCTTGCTCTTTTTTTTCCTCCTCTCTCCTTTTTCTACTCAAATGTGCTTGGAGAACCTTTTAGAAGTTAAGACACCTCCTATATTTACTGCAAGAATACTCAGTCTCCCTGTTTGCCAGCTGCTGTTCAAAATATATATATAATAGAGTACTTTTCCATATTTGATATAGATTTGTTCATTATACTCACTGCTAGTATGTCTTAGCATCTTCCAGTCATGCCTTATTTCATATGAATAACACTTATTTTTTATTGCATTTTCAGATATTCAATCATTTAAGGTGTGAGAGATGGGCTGACTTCAGTCACAACCTAGAAAACCCATTACCTGAAGAAGACAAGACAGCTACCAGAAACAAGCAAAGGAGATTTTTTCCGAACACTTGGAATAGCTCTGACTTAGAAAATAAGATCCTCCTTCCACACTTACATGCTGGCACAACTGAGATCAATGAGAAACCCACCTTTTGCTGTATCTCAAGCACTTAAACACCGGCTGAGTAAGAGTGAGCTGAAAATTCAGAACAGGCCTCTTTAGCAGCCGGGGGGAGGGGGCAAGATGGAGGAAACCACATTCCTGTGACTAGTGATCTTGCCGAATACAGTAATTTCCTAAAAATAAAGTTATTACTTATTTCCCAGCATTCCGTTTTCTTTTGTTCACCGAACTCAGTTTGCACAATAAAGCCAGAAATATCAGCTTCCTTTTCTCCATCTTCAACATTAGCAAAATGTCAGTGGATTTGGATTTCTTATATTAAAGAAGAAAGATTATGGTTTACACTTTTTATAGTTTTTGGTTTTATAGTTTCGGTGCAGTTCTCTGAACATCGTTAAAATATTGCATAATACAAAGAAGTTCTGAAAACCGTCTTTCTTTCCCTCTAATACCAAAGACTAAAGATTGTATCTATCCTAATAAATTGTGCTCCTCTTGATACTTTAGGATAGGAGTCCATGAATCTCAGAGGAGAGAAATAAATTGTGATCAAAACAGAGTGATAACTTTAATTGATGCAGATAAGGGCAGTTGCTGTATTTTCTTACAGTGAGTTTGAACTGAGGAGGAATAAATCCTCACAACTTTACATACTATGAAGTCATATCTAGATCAGATGATTATGCAAACACTTCCCTTTACTAGATTTTAAACTACTCAACTCCTTTTGCACAGCTGAAAATGAGTCCAAGAAACAGCACAATGGATTAAGTAATCAATCTTAATGAGCAAGCAATATGTCAGACTGATTGATTACCAACCAACCAAAGAACGGCTAGACAGACCACACTGCCAGACCTAGGCCAAATTCCCAGCTAGTACCCATCTTTTACTCCACTGAAGAACAAAACTGACACAAATTGATGAAGTCCTTTCCATGAGTGCACTTGGGTAAAGTGAGGTTTTTTTATCATGTACACTGCATTGGAGGTAAACCTCAGTATTTGTTGTGGTCACTGCCCAAAAATTAAAGAGCTTTTAATGATTTTGAGTACCAATGACTTCATACTACCCCCTTTTTAAGACAGATAATATTGCAAAAAAAAAAAAAAAGCAAAAGGACACTATGTTTATATTTATTTCCTGTTATGAAAACATAATGTTCACATTAATCCTGCATCTGTCTTCAGGTTAACAAAACAGAAATATGTTCAATTACACAAGTTTTCGGCATCAATCAAATCCTACTGAAGTCAACTTAAGGTGAAGGTAAACTGCACTTGTAAAAACAATAAAAATTCTATTTTAGATGCCTAAGTATGGATCTAACAATTTTACTTTAGACACTTCCCCCCCCATGATACACTTCAAAGCAAGAAATAACATGGCTTTTTAACATAACATTTCTATAAATCTCCAAGCAAAGAAATTCAATGTTGAAAAGCAGTAATACTGTACCTTGATTTCTTCTATTTCGTCTGGCACTATCTTGTATGCAGATATAGTCCCACCCAACCTGAAATCAGGAGAAAAAAAAAGATATTCTCTGAAATCAGAACAAAAATGTTCTCAAAAGCAGTAACGCAAAGCACAGCATGTTAACAGTGTCATTACTTGTTACAAAATACAAATATCCCTCCTACCAGTTTAGAGGCAAAATGTACTAAGCCCCAAAACAGCAAAAAACCCCCTTTCCTTTCTTTATCCAAAGAAAAATCCTCATGCAACTAACATAAACATTAGAAACAAGGTGTCCTTCACTAGCCTGAAAAATAAGAATGAGGTCAATCCAGCAGAACTACCATCACCAGGATGTTATTCTTTATATTAACGGCCATCAGTCATCATACTCTATGACTTCTTGTTTGTTGTCTAAGTTGTATGGATGAGTTTAAGTATTTGAAACCTGATATGCTTTGTGCTCAGTATTTCACTAAGCTGCTACAGTCTTAAATGCATCCAAATGCAATTTTATTAATTGATTTTTTTTTTTTATTAGACATCTGTGTACAGAACTCACAATCCACACAGACTCTATGGCTTCCGTGTTTGAAAAGTCTCTGTTGTTCACCATTGGTAATAAAAAGTAGGTGATGTGCAATAGTTGGCACTGATGTAGAAAAAGTGGGGTTTGTTCCACATTGAACTTACTTGTCTATATTCTGCAAAATTTAATGGCAAAGAATAGTTCATACGCTGAGAATGCATGAATAGCATGTACTACAAATCGTGGTAAATAATACATTTTCCCCAAAGACATACAGTCGTGGCTTCTTTTATTTCATGAAGCAGTATGATTGATAGTGACAACCCAGACCTAAAAATATAACTGCACTAATGACCTCCCTGCTGGCTCTAGCAACACTAGTCATCTTCTACATCCTAAGGAAATGGAAATCACATAAGAAACTAAAGCAGCAGACAGCTATCAAATGTGCATTTGGATTATCTGCCTATTATCGGAATTTTTGCTTCCTATTGTCAGCATTTCTACACCAATGTATTTCCTTACATTCAATCTTGACATTATTACACATATTGTTTACTCAACCTAAATAGGGGAGAAGAGAGTAAAACAGAAAGCCCATTAAGATATTCTTCGTAAGTCCTGCCTTTCTGTATCTCTACAAGTAAGTCACTCAGAAATTATGGTTTGAAGACTTTAGACAGAAGATGAAGTCTGCATAGGAAAAGCCAAGTCTGAAGTCATCACTGCTCCAAGTAACATCAACTAAGATTTCTGAGGTAGAGACAGGGTCCACATCACATCACAGCATTCAAATTCATGATGAACAACTAGAGTGCAGTAATTACTCTCTCCTATTTCATCTGCAATATCTATTGCTGCTTATCATCAATGGAATTGAAAGTTGTGAGAGAAGTGAAGCTTTTGTTTGCCAGTGCAAGTACAAACATTTGCTTTTAGTCTTCACTGTGCCTGACCTTTGTGCAAATGGTGTCGTCAGGGATAGCTACAAGAAACTAGTTTAAACTTCATTATGAAAGACTGCTTCATCATTTCATGACAAGGAATAGCTCAGATCAGTGTACATTTTTATTGCACATGACTAGTCCTTCTGCTACTGGAACAAGGTCCATTAGAAAATATTTTTTGTCTAGTTCTTTTAGATCCATTCCTGCACATACTCTGGAGTACCCAAAAAAATAATTTCATTGACTTTCTATCCTCTAGCAGAAGAGGAGGACAGAGTCTCTGCTGCCAGCCCTCCACTAGCACAGAATTCCACTTAACAGATTTCTTTATTGTCCACCCTCAGCACAACTATTAAGCACTTTCTTGGAATACACAGGAAAAAAAACCCTAAAAATCAAAATAATTGACTCAGTAAACTCATCTGGCTTCCTTAAACCACTAATTAGCATCATTTTTTGCAAATACTTCTACAAAGTTCTCTGTCAAGAGCTTAGCATACTCCAAATCTGCCAAGTTGCAGTCCAAATGGTAGCACATTTTAAAGTAAAATGTCAATTACTACAAATCCACAGTTTTGAAAGAGAGAGTGACAGAGGACTTGCATGTGGCATATGTTTTTTCATTTTCTTGGGAGTAACCTCTCTCTGCTGGTTGGTTTTGTTAGAAAATTTTACACCAGCTTTTTTGATCACAGTGTTTCAAGAAGCAATTACACTGCAATCAGAAAAGCAAAGGACCAGCTGGCATGAGGACACATTAACTACTGTGGGCTTTTGTACACTAAAATGTAATGCAGCAAGAACATGTTAGAAGGGCCAGAACTGACTTCACCAGGGACCTAATTCTTGTGCAGATTCACTCTTCATCTTTCACACGTTTTAGTTTTATTATAGATTTTATTATATTTTTCTCTACTTCAACAACACAACATCCAGCATTCTGCAATATAAACGGCATTTTCTCTTCATAACAAATACACAACCAAGAGCAAAGCTACATACAACACAGCATTATTTAATAGTGGAATTATTTTAAATACTAGTTAGCTTTATTTTTTCACATGTGCACATGTTACAGATAATCTCTGAAAGGTCACGCAATTTATATTAAAATTTCAATAGACAGCAGTCTCATCAGGTTTGTATCATACCCTGCATGCAACCCTGACACTCCAGTTCTTTAACCCCTTTGCAGGAGAGAAATGAAATTACTCCTAGATGTAGAAATTAGAGCTGACACAATAAAATTGAAGACCCACACCTCATATTGGGCGCAACTGGTGATGGTATTTGAGGAGAGAATCAGAAAAGATGAGAGAGAAAAAATCCACAAAAATAGTTAGGAACTAATAAATCTCATGTAACTATTTCCACAGGAGTTTGTGAAAGAATAGAAACTGTGTCTTTTTTAGGGAAACAAGTGCATCTCAGATTGACATAGAATGCACAGACTGGGTTTGCTGTAAGTTCACAAAAAGGATTGAGGAGAATGTGGAAAGTAAGGTTTCTATAGCAACCTAAGAAATTAGCAAAATACAGGAAATAAACTGAAGTGAGGCCAATACAGTTGTATTGGAACAGATGGAAGCTTTACTATTTCACAAATTAAAGCAGAGTAACACTGAAGAGAGAAAACTTGAACTTCATCCAAGTAAAGGAAAGTTAAAAACCAGGAAGAGCTGTGCTCAGATGGAGGCAAGAAACAATGAACCATGGCCCTAATAGGAAGAGAACTTGGGAGGACAAAACTTCAAGAGAAATAAATTACAACTCTGTTATAACAATAAACTATCAAATTTTTAACAAATTATCCTTTTATTACCTGTTTGCTGTATGTTTCAATAATCTACCTAAAAGAGAAACTGCATTTCTCATTTATAAAACATTTATTCTTGATATAAGGTTAAAATTATCACAATATTATTTTCCATATAGTTGCAAGCTGGACCTCTGACTGGTCTTCCCTGTGCCCCTGTATATATGCCTGTGCCAATGGACTCACTGGATTATTACTGAATAGCTAAATCATGTGCAAGACACTTGTGCACTTGGACTGAATCAATATTGGTCAGCTTTTAAAATTTGAATTCTGATAAAATATATGAACATACTCTTTATATACGGTTCCACATTCGATGACTGCCATAAGAAGCCGAGCTATTGATTCATCTGTTAACTTAATTAATGAGTCATACTGAATGCAGTGAAGTCAATTTTCTAAAAAAAGCTTCTAGCCAGCTTGGCTGTTGTCATGTGCTGAAGTTCTCCAATGCCACTTTAATTAACATTAATCTTTGTTCAGATAGAGCACTGTCTAAATGATATCAAGTTGTTGCTAAATCTCCCAGTGGAACTCTGCTTCACCTTTAAATGAAAGCAAAATCAAAATCCTTTGCCCAACATTTTTTTCCCCAGATCCATCTCAAATATATTTGTTATTTACCACCAGGATATTTTGATTTGATTTATAAGCCAAGCAGAGACTGTGCTTGTGAGAAGATCAAATGACTGAGGGCCAGACTGTCTATTTCTAATTCTAAGGGTATATTTATTTTATCACAGGCTACTGAATGAATACATATTATGATACTACTACTGCTGGAGCAAACTGACCAAGACAGCATTTTTAGCTTACTCAACTGGGCTTAATGGTGACCTGTGAGACATCAGCAAATCATCTTGCCTTGGATCCTCACATACGGCCAAAACTTCATGGAGTATTCCCTGGAAGGAGGTAGCAGAACTGCATTTGAAAACAACTTTGTACTCTACTACCTGTAAAAGCATATACTAAAAGCAATCACAAAGCTACTTTGACACTAGTTTCTGTCCTGTGAGAAACTGTTAAAGCACCCTGAGGGAGGGAGTAAGATGACAGGCTATTTCAGGCTCGCTTCCTACACATCAGAACACTGGTAGCTAGAGCAAGCTGGCTGCATGCCAGCAACGAATTCTGCAAAACAGCTTGCAAAGTGCTTCGTGACAACAGTTTTACTTACTCTAAGGTGTAGAATTACGTGATGAAGATCAACCCCATGTTTTCTGGTTTGCTTCTTTTCTTTTCTTTCTTTTTTTTTTTTTTCCTAATGGATTCAATAATGACATCCTAGGCAACTTACTTCTCTCCCCTTCCCACCCATAATCATAGGCTAACTTCAACATGCTGTACTCAAAAACCTCACAGAAATAAACTGATTGCAGACGTGCCCTCTGTCAGTTCATGACTCTCTTGAACAACATCTCCAACATTAAGACGTCAAAATTACAGGATTCTCTCTCTGCCTCACCATGTGCCAAAAATTTATTGCACATAAAACAAAATGAAAAAGGGGGGTGGTGGTGTTAAAATCAATCCAATGTTTTAAAATTTTTATTCCCTACCTTACTACTGTTTTAAGAATAACAAAAGAGCACATTTGTCCCTGCTTTCTGGCTTTTTTTTTTTCCTAAACAGAATAAACAAACTACATTTTTAAGGAGGAAACAAATGTTATTTTTTTCTTTGACCCTTCAAAGTGTCGTTGGTTTTGGGTTGTTGGGGTTTTTTTTGTTTGTTTGTTTGATTGGTTTTGGCTT